TAACCCTCTTCCTTGCAAGAAAAGTCAATCAACAAAACAAAAGACCTCTTCTGGTGAAAATTTATTCTCTTCCAGTTATTAACAGGAAAATACCACCAACGTTTCTCAACTAGGTCAAAGATCAATTCCTGAAATAAGCCAGGGAAACTATCTCTACGACCAACAAAAAAGCGGGTTCCAGATTAATACCTGAAATAAGACAGGACAATTATCTGTGAACAACTGATTGTACATTAATACCTGAAATAAGATAGGACAACTATCTACATGAGAATATTGAAGATTTACTCCTGAAACAAGATGGGGAAACTATCTTTCTTTCTCTTTGGTCAGATAAAGATCAATTCCTGAAACAAGACGGGGCAACTATCTTTATTACCAATGGTATGAACTCCCGAAACAGGACGAGTTTACCAACAAACTGATTTGTAGATCAATTCCCGAAACAAGATGGGGTGACTATCTACATGACAAACGCTTCCTTCAAGACTTCTGTTGGTTCAGTTTAAATCGACCGATGATTTATCCCGATTCTGTTCCGGTAGACATTTTCTGTGGTTCAGTCAAATCGACCCTAAGATTTTTCAGATTCTTATCCGGACAAAAACAAATACAGGCATCTGCTATTTCCGTATAAAGTGAAGATTTACCCTGATACTTCTTCCATTTCTTAATCAACAGTCACTTCTGGATGGCATCTATAAGCCCATCTCCGACGATTATCAACCACTTCTAGATGGCATCTATAAGTCCATCTCCGACAATATTTTGTCACTCTGCAAATGGCATCTATAAGCCCATTCCCGATACAACAAATCCAAAGTGTTACTTCTTGCACAAGCGAGTGCAAATTTCTGGGCACTATAGTTGTAGGTGTTTAGGTATTGGCTTGCATTTTTGGTAAAACCCAAGTGTATGTGTGAATGTCATGACTGATGTCATAACATTCTAGCTTAGTTTGTACTGATTCATTAGGTACCTTTGCAGAAAAATATTGTCATTTAGGAACTGATGTTTATAAGTGTGTATCTGAGCATTTTGCAAAATGATCACATTTTGCTAAATCAGTAGACAGGTTTTCTCAGATGTCATAACAGATGTTATGACATCCTGTTCTGAACTAACAGGTTTGCAGGTTGGTTAATTCTGAGTTTTTTCAGGAAAATAACTCAGTCTTTCCAGAACAGAATCCTGCGTTTTCTGAGGGGTAACCTAGCTCAACCCTAACCTGGTTAATAAAGTCCTTGACCTAGTCTTAAGGTCAAATGGAATTAACCCTAGGTTTTTGGAAACCCTAAACTGAAGTTGCAGCTGCTATATATTCAACAGAGCTGCTGTTTTGCAAGTAATCCCTTTTTTGATCAGAAGATCATTTGTAATCTGTATAGGTTTGATTATTGTACTCCAAGCAATTATCATTGTGATAAGTGACTTGGAATAGGTTTTTAATTGTAAGGGTTGTGTAGCACTCAAAGCTTTGAAGCAAGAGTGTTTGAATGTTCCTTGACTAAAGCTGTGAAGCAGAGTCAAGTTAGTTGTGTGCATCACTCAAAGCTGTGAAGCAAGAGTGATTGTGTTGCTTGATTAAAAAGCTGTGAAGCTTAATCAAGTGTTTGTTTTTTGAAGAGTGTCTTCATCAATTCATTAGTCAAATTGTTTTATGTATCATTGCTGTGATTGAGGGGGAGTGAGTAGGAACTCAGGTTTAAGTTGTACTTAGATTGAAATTGCATTGGGTAGGTTTTAAGTGAAGGAGATAAGCTGGTTGGTTTATTCCTGAATTAACATCTCTTATAGTGGATTTCCTCCCTGGCTTGGTAGCCCCCAGAGTAGGTGTTGTTGCACACTGAACTGGGTAAACAATTGACTGTGTTCTTTATTGTTTTTGTATTTACTGTCATATAGTAAGTCAGATACGGTGTCATAACATTGAACGTGACATTGAGTATCTGCAGCCAGAATTTCAATAGTGTTCAATCATCTTCCACCTTTGAGTCACGAATGGTAAACATGCTAATCTAACTCTTCAAGTTTAAGAAGATTGAACAGGGGCAGCTGTTGTACCCCTAAAATTTTTGCTCCCATTTTTCATTTAAGATTCTATCCTATGGTTTCTCAAATACTCAAAATGGCTCAGGGTTTGATTAAACATATTCTCTTCCTAGGCATTGAGTCAGCAACTAGGGTTTGGTATTTCTCAAAGAAAATTGAGTTTTTAAGGTTTCAAATGGTCTTCATAGATCTTCATGTATTCTCAAGGATGCTCGTGCCAAGTTTCAAGCCTCGCATCGCAAGTTTGCTCAGTCAATGGTTCAGATGACTGAAAATCAACTGCAAAAGTCGACCTTTTCAAGATCAAGTCCAAACAATTGTAACTTCATCATTATTCGATATTTTTGAGGGGTTCATTTTGTGTATGACTCTCTTTGACATCATTCCCAACTCCTCTTTACAAGTCAAGAGCCGATTATGTGCGAAAGATCATCAAAAATTCGAATACTTTAGATGTCATTTTGCAAATTCGACCTAATCACAAGAAACTCTCGTCCAATTCTCAACATCCTGAGACAATTCTTTTTGAGAAGTATCCCAAATAGCGTGGTCTATGAGATTACTTCGAAAATCAAGGTCAAATTACGCTTGGCTCAATTTATGTCACGGATGTTTCTCAAAAGACATTTGATTCTTATGTTGGGACAATTCATGAAACTAGATTTCTAGTTCAATGATTCGTTGATTTCTTGTCGCCTACTTCAAGTAATTTGCAATTGAACATTAGAGATCATTGGATTAAGGCGGATTATTGATTAAATCTCTTAAAGGCGCGATTTATATTATTGGCTCGTATTGCAAGTTACCACGAATTGACAATATGGGTTTTAAAGAAGGAGATTTGAGGAACAATTCGAATAATTCATTTGATTGCAAATTAATTCAAGTGTGCGAGGCGTAATTCATTCATATGAATTTGCTTTTGGATTCAAGATATACAAAAGAACTAATTTCTCATGATGCAAGTTTGCTCAAATTTTGAAGATCAATTCATGTAATTTGTTTGGAATTCTAGGAGAAAATACAAGATGTTCATTCATAATTCAAAATATGGAAGGAAATAATTGCTTTCATGAGCTTAGAAGTTCCAAGTCAATGTTCAAATTAAAACATCAAGCACATCAATTCTACATTCTACTTGGAAATTAAGATGTTCATCAATTTTTCAAGTCTTTTATCCAAAGATCACTCTCAAGATTCAAAATCAAGAGATCATGTTCATAATAGTCAAAGTGAAATCAAATTCTATAATTCACTTCATGATTCAAAGTTCAAAACTCCAAATTCAAGTCTATTGATTTCAAATTGACAAAAGTTAGACATCATTCAAAGGTTCTCATTCAATTTGCAAGACGCATAAAAAAATATACAATTTCAAAAGCGCCAAGTAACTATTGTTTCGTTTACAAATCATGCAAGTTAATGCCCAAATTACATTCAATAAAGTTTCAAGCTACAATCACAAAAGAAATTCTTCAAGTTTTTATGCCTAAAGACTTCATCTTCAAGGTCACTCAAATCCTCCATGACTTCATTATCAAAGCTCCATCTTCCAATCTTCATGTTTTCTTCATCAACTAGTGAAAAAGAAAATAACTGTGTGATTAGCAAAAAATTTCAGCAATGCAAAAGAGTTTAAAGGCCCACAAATATCATATTACAGCCCTATAAACCAGTACAAGAAAACAACAAAGCAGCCCCTTTTTACAGCCTTGTTTCAATGTATAACAATCCAATTTTTGTGGTATTTTTTGTCCAAAACAGCAGCCCAAAAACAACAACTTGTAACAGTCCAAAAAAAGCTGCTAAAACCTGGTCCATTGCTGTCCAAACCTGTCCACAAACAGCCAAGTATTACACAAAAAATCAGCAAAAAAAATCTGCACCAGAGAGCAATAAAACAGTAGCCAAAAATTTTCAAAAACTCATTAATCCCCTCCCCCCTAAACCCACTACTGTTGTATATAAAACAGGGCAGCCCTATATGAAAAAGCGACAAAAACAAAACTTAAAAGAGGCTATTGTTTCATAAAAAAGCAATGTTTTCATACACCCTTCATCCCAAAAAAACATTCACAACTTCAACTCAAACTCTCCATACAGAAGCAACAAAAAAAACTGAGGAGAAGAAGAATACAAAAAAATTCAGCAAGTGAACAACAGAAAAATTCAAGGAGAAAAAAACTTACTGTTTGAAGCTCCACCGGAGAGACTCCGATATGTATTTTTATTCCCCTCTATTACTTCTGCACAGCTCCATCATATGTACATCCATGTTTGTTGAATTTATTTGCATAGTGATTTTTATGTTTGAATCACTGTTTTTTTCTTCTGCAACCTGTTATAAGAAAAACAGAACCATATGATTCATACAATAACAACTCAATAGCAATAAGAATTGTTCCATACAAATAACCTCTTCCAACAAACTTGTTAGCAGTCATAAAAAAACCATAGAAACAAAAATCCTATCCTCATAAAACTAGTACTACTAATTACTGTCACACACAAAACACATCACAAATATTTTTTCAAGTAATTTTAAACTTCTCTTTGTCATACATGACCATCTATTCAAAAATAAACTCATTAACCTGCAACCTGAAAAAACCATTCAATCACAAACTACAAAGTCAACCATAACCAATTCAACCATTCACATCATCAATCCACCATATACACCATTGATCTACACATTCCAAACCTGTATAAATTATCTTCATCAACAAATTCACAAGTCAACAACATAAATATCCCAACACCAAAAAATGCACAGAACAGAAACAAGGGGAGAATCAAAATAAGAAAAATGGTCGATATAAAATCAAGCTCAGAACCACTCCAAATCATGTCAGACGTTGGCGCCTCCTCTCGCATCACACGACTCCACTTCTCCTCCGTTTCACCCACCTGAGTTATTTCAAATTAGATATATCTATTTCTAAATCATGGCTACTGGACAACTATTCTCGCGCACTACACAAGTTCTGTTTTATAACTACAAGCAGCTTCTCATACAGCAAATGCTTAATTTTGACTTCCTTTGTGGAAGGGAAACACCATCAGTTGCTGGAATAATTAATCCGGGTTTTGAGGGATTTCAAAAACTCTTTTTTTGGTCAGGAGTAAATTGCCATCCCAGTTCATACTACCATTGAAGCAGCTTTTGTTACACATCCTATTGTCGACGTCTTTATCAACTTTACTTCGTTTAGGATTGCTACTGCATCATCCTTGTCTACTTTGAAGCAGCCTACAATTAGAGTTGTGGCTATTATTGTTGAAGGAGTACCCGAGTCAGACACTAAGGAATTGATTGCATATTCTCGGGCGAACAATAAGGTTGTAATTGGCCCAACCACTGTTGGAGGCATTCAATCTAGGGATTTTAAAATTGGTGATACAGCTGGAATAATTGACAATATAATCAATTGCAAGCCTTGTTCAGGATCTTCCAATGGAAACAAGAACAAAAAGTTACTGACTCTGATATGGGGTCAGACTCAACAAGGTTCAACTAGACATACAGAAGATGCAGGAGCGTGAATTCAACACCAAGAATGTGAGGGAAGGAAATGGAAGCTAGACTCAAAGGGATTTCCAGTGGGGAAGCAATACTAACATCGGTTAGCGATTGTACCAAGCCGGTTGCGTTTATGGAATAGAAAGATGATGGTTTAGCAGAGATAATCCGTGAAAAAGAAAGGATAATATTTTTTCTCTAACTGTTGTTTCAACTTTTTTTCCTTGAACGGTAATGTTATTAAATCTAATTGACATTCTCAATAACGCATCAAATGGCGCGCTACTTTTGTAACTAGGGTTTTCAAAACCCTTCTTTTCCTCTTCCCAACCGGGTCACCCTATTGGACTTGTTGGCCAAATCACACTATCATTTTCCCCTTTTATTTCATTAAGAACATAGTAATAACGAATAAACAATACAATTCAGATGACGAAACATGTTTACCTTAACCTTAAGGGACCCGAGTTCAACCCCTTCCGGGGTCTTTAATTCTATTTTTTGGTTTAGTTTTAATTCAATTAAATATAAAATATATAATTTCAAAATTAGTTAATTTAGGACTTTGTGATTAATTTTGTTAACATTTTTTTATAGTTTAGTAAACTTTCTTTTAAATTATTTAGTTTCTAGATGATAAAAATTCAAATAAATAATAGAATAGATTCCTTATTTTCTTTCCGAATTTTCCACAAAACAAAAAAAAATACTAAAACTATTATAGTGTTATTTATTTTGCTAATTAATTTTATAGACTGTGTTAGTTTAAATACTTGTTCATTTTTTATTCGATTGGGTTGTATTGATTGTTTATTTAAATTTTTAATCGCATTGTCGATTCGATCCATCCCCATTTGTAATTTTGTATTCCCCATTCCCAAAAGCTCTATAATAGCGTAGAATTTTAATTTCCGCAATTTACAGTTTTCTTTATACTGTATAGTAATTAGGCGTGCATGACAAAATTAAAATCAATCACTAGACAACCCTAATCAAAGACAAATTAACTTGAATCAAACACACTTTTCACACGCTCACCTCTAGGGTAGCCTCGCTTGTTGCCTTTGGAAAAATACAGTCATGTCCCTCGAATGTGGGACTCTTTAGCAAAGACCCTCGATAAAAAAAAATCATAGTCCCTCGATGTCCCTCGATGTTGCCTACAGTAAATGATCCAGTCCCTTACGAAAATTGCTAAAGCGTCTCACAAGTTGCCTTCTATGACTGTATAATGACCCACGCTTATCCCTTCACATCCAACAATAGGGTTTCTTATCAATCAATGGTAATATAACACTAACTAAAGGATGAAGAAAAGAACATACACCTTTTGAGTAGGACGCTCGTAGTTTCTTGCTCACAACATTTCAAAAAACAACATCTTTCAAACACACAAACACTTTCAAAAATGAAATATTTCCAAAAAGTTAACACTTTGTATACATTCTTATAGAGACGGGAATCATTACAAAGTTCACCTAAGCGAAGGCACTTTTCAAAAATACTTTCAAAACCCATCACAAATACATTTCAAACAAAGTGTTTTCAAAGTGATCAAGCAACTAAGAGCCCGTAAGATAACTACGGATGAAAAGGGTGCTAACACCTTCCCTTTTCATAATCTACCCCTCGAACTCAAGAAAATATATCAAAAGGTCTTTCCTGTTCTTTTCACGCTTTCTTTTATTGGATAAAAGAAAAGTCGGTGGCGACTCTTGCTATCCTTAACAATTGCGATAAAACGCAAAACACCAAGTCAATTCTCCCATCATATTACACTCTCCCTCTGCTTGTTGTTGCTCAGTTCTTCCTGACATCATTGTTCTTTGAATCTCTCACTTGCTCCATTGTTCGTCGTTGATAATTATCAATAATCTGGTCAACCTCTCGATTTTTCCCTTGTTTTAAAGGATTTTGCCTCTGTTCTAGGATAGAGATTTTGTTTCCTTTCCTAAAAATGCATACAGTTAGGGTTTATAGTAACTTAGTATGGGAAATTTGGGCGCTTTTCCATTGTCTGACGGTGGTTTCATCGCCTGAGGATGGTGGCTCCTCCGTGAACTTATTAGAGATGTTTTAGACATAGGGTTGGTGGCTCGCAATGAACTTTATTGAGGTGTTGAGGCTATTTCTAGGCGAGGTTGAAAATCATCTATTGTGGGAAGGAACTTTCCTCACAGAAGCTAGGGTTTAACATGGCGGTGGAGTGCTTAATGTGTCAGAGAAAAGCGTCCTCATTTTGCTTTCTGCTGTTTTGAGTGAGGACTCTGGTCGGGGACAAGGTCCTCGTTCCTTTGCGCCTTTCACTAGACTGACGATGGAAGAGTGGATTTGATTTCGATGTTGACTTTACTTTTATCCTATTCTTTTCAGGTATAATGGCCAGTAGTACCGATGATGTATCCATGGATGAACCCAATGATTCCTCACTAAGCTTATCTGAGTACTCGTCGACAAAGAGGAGCACTTTGGGAATACCCGATCCAGAACCGGTTGTTCCAGAACTGGGCGCGTCCGAGCAGAATTTGCCCGCGGTTTAGGATTAGCTCGTGGTTCCAGTGGATCCTTTAGATTGGGTCGCGTCGGGTCCCTTAGAACATGCCTCCTATTTTTATGATCATCTAGATGAAGCGTTTACCTCGGTGGCCCCGGGGATGGAGTTGGAGGTGGTCGAGGAAGAATGGTCGATATATATCCCCAGGAAGATCCATCAGATATGTTCAAAGTTTGAGGCAAACCATATTCCCATGTACGATATCCCCTTTTGAGAGATGGGTTTCCGACTTCCTTTTACTTATCTTTAGGTGGCTATTTTTCGGCACCTTCGCCTTTTTCTATCGCAGCTACATTCCAATTTGATTTCCTTCCTGCGGGCTTTTGAGATTTTATGCGACTATATATTGATAGGGACCTCCGTTTCTATGTTCTTCTACTGCTTCCATCTTTAGAGGGGCACTTTTGGAACTCGGTTCGGATAAGTCTCTCTCCAGCAGGCAAACAAAAAACTGTTCAAAGCCTATCTGGAGTCAGTCCGAGATTTTAAGGGGAGGTACATGTTGATCTAACCTGTATCAGGGAAGGCATTGCTGAACATTTTCAGAAGCATCCCACTGGTTGACCAGACCTGGGGACCCGTGTTGAACGAGGTAGGGAACCCGGTTGCAAATCTGGTGCCAAAGTTTCATTTTCATTGGTCGAGGAAACATTATACCCAGGGGACCGACCACTATATTTGGAAGAAGGGCCAGTTGGATGTCGAGGACCAGGCTAGCCATGACCATTTGTCGGCCTTTGTTGCGGGGATCCCCTTAGTCCAGCGTATGGGCAAAGGGGGAAAGTTGTTATCCAACGAGGATGGGAGTTTATTTTTGAACCCATTTTGATAAATGTTAAGGAGCTCATCCAGAGAGAGGATCCCGTGACATACTTAGGTATTTTATATTTTATTTCGACTAGACTTGTATGTTAGATTCTTTATTTTTGTTTGCTAACCCAATAATTTTCTTTGTTTTGGAAGTATGAATCATGCTCAAGAGTGCATGGCCAGGTCGTTACTTCAGAAGGTGAAGAAGAGGCAGAAGTCTCTTAAAGGTTCTCAGGCTGGTGCGAGGACGGCTTCTCAATCGGGCTCCGGAACATCGTCGACTAGCCATGCTGTCGGGCATCTCTCCCCTCAAGAGGTGTCTTCGAGGTTCAAGAGGTCGCGTACCGAGGGTACCATAAGTTTGACCGGCGAATAGGATAAATGGAAGTTTGAGTTGCCTTTATGCTTTCATGATAAGGCTTTCTTCTATGGTTCCACCTTGCGACTTCATTGGGCTGAGTCCTTTATGCTTGAATAGATGGATCGTTCATGCAAAAGAGTGATGTTGGCTGGGGATGTTGGCACCATTTTAAGGGTATTGGGAATGGATGTGGCGTACACCTAGGAAGGAACTTGTCTATAGGTAAAATTGAAAAAATCACAGGCTGAGGTAACGACTCTCAAGGAGAAGCTCGCCCATGCGGATGTTGCGAGCAAAACACCGATAGAGAAACTGGTCAAGCTGACTGAGGAGCGCCAGAAACTTCTGTATGAGAATAAGTCTTTCGAGGAGGTGGTTACATCCTTGAGGGCTCAAGTAGCTCTTGGTGAGGACGAGTCGGAGGAGGCCAGGGGTTTGAAGACTCGTGCGAAGTTAGTTGCTTACCTTTAACTAGCCATCAAAGATGGTGCGGCCAATGCCGAGGGATCCTTCAAAAATGCCATGGAGAAGCTCAGAGTATTGAATCTTAGCGTGGAGCTGAACATGGATGGGATGTGAATCCTCTAATATGTGGCTGGCGGTAAGATCGTGATCTTCGAGTTTCTCAAGGGTGTCGAGGAAGCATTGGTCGAGGAACCTTTCCAGAGAGAACACGTTCCCGAGGAGGTGCCTCAGCTTAATGTTTGATTGCTTTATTATATTTCTTTGTTCCAGCATGCATGTCGTGTTTGATGTAACTTGTTTTGGGTGACTTTTTCCCGTCAATGTAATTTCCAAACAATTGTGGTCCTTGTGGCCACAAGTTTGTTTATTTGGATGGGGGCTTCGGGCCTCCTTTATGTAATATTTTAGACAACAACGGCCTTCGTGGTCGTCCCTTTTAATCTTCTAACCATGGTGATTGTTGTACCCCAAAATTTTCCCTCTCATTTTACAAGTTATCTCCTCATTCTCCTAGAGTTTTCATTTGCTCAAGGGTACTCAAGAATTGATCAGAAAAATTCTCCTCCTAAGCAATTGACCTACAACTAGGGTTTTGTATTTCTCAATGAATTTGGGTTTCTAATGTCTCAAGTGGGTTTAATGGTCTCTTATATGTCTCTAAGAATTCTCATACCAAATTTCATGCCTTGCATCACAAGTTTGCTCAGTCATTTGCTCAAATGACTAAAAATCATCTATATTAGACAAAAAGTCAATTATGGTCAACATACAGTCAAACTTCAATATTTTTGGTCAACATCAACACTTAGAAGTCTTATTCATCATTTTATCAA